GGGGAGCCAGCCACACGCAAGTGCTCCAGGAGGGCCCTGGGGAAGCAGCATTATGGAGTTATTCAAGGAGGTGCAGGACTTATCCCAAAAAAAAAAAAAAAAAAAAGGCTAAGGTGAGCCAAAATGACAGGTTCTGGAATTATCAACAGCACGTGAAACAGGATGAACAAGACACTCTGGTAGCCACCCCTGTGTTTGGGGAGCCCAGCTCAGAACATAACTGCAGCTTCAGGCCCTGAGAGAGGAGCTTGTGACTGGGTTGGGAGATGAGGACCCATGGGACAAAAGGAGACCCTTCTGTGCTTCTGGTCTCAGGGAGACTGAAGTTCCAACCAAGTTATGGCTGGGGAGAGCGAGCATCACAAATGGTTTTCATGTTCAGCACTTCTCACCACAAGAAAGAAAGGCCCAAGAATGTCTAAACTTCCCCAGAGAAAACTGTGGACCCAGTGGACTGAGGCCAAAAGTTGAAGCAATAGCCTTCCCTGGTGGGAAGGAGCAGGGTGACTTCTGCCTCTTGTCCTCATCTGCAGACTTGACATTGACACAGAGCCTAGCACTTGAGGAGAGTGGTCTTGATTCCAGGTAAGAACAAGGTCTCTTCTTCCACCTCCAGCCTCACACTGGAGACCGACATCCCACTGGGTGAAATATGCCCAACGCTGAACCACATGGAGACCAAGCCCTGAAGGCACAGTGAACAGACAGCCAGTTCATCCTGTGTAATTAAGCTGAATCCGTTCAGTCACTCAACTCTCCTTTATTGAGTCCCTACAAGTGCCAGGCTCTGGGGTTGCTGTGCAGAAGACAGTCTGTGAGCTCCAGGGAGGACGACAAGTAAATATATAATGAATTAGACTGTGATCAATGGTACAGAGAAGTCACATTTACCCAGAAACACTTACCCAGAAAAGGCCTCCTAAAGCCTGTGTTGAGACCTAAAGGAAGGCCAGGGGTTGCCGGGGGGTGGGGAGAAAATTCAACTGGATAAATGGAGACACTTCTGCAGAATAACGAAGATAGCAGGCACAATCTACACCAGTGGCTAGAGGCAGATCTCAATAAGATCAGAGCTGGTTTGCAGAGTAGAAGAGAGCAGAGGAGATGGAGTGTAGAGGAGACAGGGTTAGATCACAAAGCCGTACAGGTTTCTGCTGACGGGGAGGATTTAGGATGGGAGATGCTGAAAAGTTTGGGGGAAAATAAAAAAAGAAATCTTGTCTATAAGGTAGAAGTAGATAATTGTGGCATTAAGGTCCTGAAAAGATGAGAATTAGAGAACATAAGACTGTCCTAAATCCAGGTGAACCTTGCTCTGGGTAAGAGATGTGATCCCAAAGTATTGGGATTGGATTAAGTAATACATAAGCATCCCTCAAGTCTTAATATAACTCGATCTTGTAATCCAGGTTTCTGTTAA